TCATTGCTGACGTATAATGCTAATCAATCAGGTGGTACGTTCACAATGGTGGTTTGTTAACATAATTAATTACATCAGTACATTCATTATAATTAATTACGCGCTCAAAGACGCCTGGAAATCGTGGAAAGCGGGGCAGGGGGATAGTGAAGTTACACGGCGTGGGTGCATGGGGGAGCACAACCACAGAGACAAATTAAACAGGCAGGCAGGTGGTGGCGTAGCGTATCATCTAGAAAGAAACCGATTTTTAACGTTTTGTGGATGTTTTGGAAAATTGTTGGTCGTTATAGAATGAAATCCTACTCTAACGTCATTTTCTAAAGACCCGCCTCTACGCCTGCTGTGTCCACACAGACGCACACGGTGGGTGGTAAATGCGTTATCGTGTATTCTAAAAGTGCGAGAGAGGGAGGACGCACAATCGACATAGAGCTTTGAATTTCACTGTTTGTGTGTGTGTGTGTGTGCGTGTGCGTGTGCGTGTGCGTGTTCGTGTGCGTGTGCGTGTGCGTGTGCGTGTGCGTGTGCTAGCTAACCATGACACATGACACCAACGCTCACCAACGCACACAGCAACCTGAACAAGCAGAACACGATGAAAGACACGAGAAAAAAGGTCGGCCGGTTATCTTCGGAGATATACGAAAAACGCCATACGAAGAAGAAGATTGCTAAACTATAAAAACGCAAGGAAAACGCGTATTGTATTGAGATTGAAGAAACCAGAAAGTTCAGAGGTGGGATTCAGAGTTATTGCGCGTATTATACACGCACGCACGCACACGCACACGCACACTAGCGCGCAAAAGCAATTTGTAAGGATAGGCTGCATCATTTTAGCGAGAAAATGTTACATGCGACCGTGCGTGCGCGTATGTGTGTGCGTGCGTGCGTGCATGCGTGCGTGCGTGCGTGCGTGCCTGTGTGCGTGCGTGTGTGCGACCAAGCGTGCGTGCGTGCCTGCGTGCGTGCGTGTGTGCGACCAAGTGTGCGTGACTGCGTGTCGGTTACGCATCGCAACGAGGCATGTAAAATTAATGCTATGAAATTTTGCGGTAATTCCCCCGTCCCCCGTTCCACGACGTTATATTATACGACTTTAATAAAAACCAAAAAAAATCCTAATCGTTTTCTAGAAGGTTTGTTTACGACGAAAAGCAGTAGCCATGTTGGCTGTCGTTATTCGCCACAGTGATGGCGTGCATCTTGTATTTACTGTCTCGTGGGGGATTAAATTTAATTAAATTTAATCCACGCGTTTCTTTCGTGAGCGGTTTTTTTTTCATGTTCTAAATGAATTTCAAATGTATTTCCCACGTGTACTTGGCTAGTGTTTAATGGCGAGATTACGCGGTGGCGGGTTTACCTCGAGCCAAATAAGCGGGTAGCATCCCCCTCGACGCGCTGTTGCGTTGTTAACACTTCGTGGGCGAGTGGGCGGGTTATGTATGCGTGCGAGGGAACACACGGGGGCGGGCACGCACGCTAGCAGCAACCAGTCATGACTACATACAAGCGCACACTGGCTGATTCTCTCGTCTGCTGTCTTTTCTTCTGGATGACAGCTTCTCTGCGTTTCGTTATGCAGGGTAGCCCGCAGTGGGACTATACTGTGACCTCATATGTATGCTCCAGTCGTGCAGATTACTAGAGTACACGCATTTACTGCGTTATATATATATATATATATATATATATAAATACAGATATATATATATACTACAGTAACACGCATATTTACGACATATTTACTAATTTACACTTACTTACTTATATAGGAATTACTTGAGTATTTGATTACACTTGTATTTACACTTTAACATGTGTTCATGTTGTGATCGTGAGCAAGATACTTTTACTCCTTACAAGTTAACCACCCCCATTTGGGGGGAGGGGGTCTTTTTGAGAGAGGGAGAGAGTTCACATGAAACTCTGTCGTCCTGCATCGCTAGGTGATACCTTAATTACGCAATGCATGACATAGGAAAAAATAAAAAATAAACTCCGGTATTTTACACGGCAGTCGGAGATGTGGTTGACGGATTATTTCGTTATTTCCGTATCAGTCCCGCTCCGCCATTGTTCAGCGGCGTACGGTGGCGATACAATGGCGCGCTCCTGCATGTGCACTCCCTCGTCTGTCCGCTAACGCTTTACTTAAATTAATTGGAGGATTAGCGAAACGCTCGTTACAGTATAGAATTCCGTAACGGTTCGTCAAGGTAAACCGTACAGTAATGGCCGATGCATCACCGCAATACGCAGACGAAGTGAAGGTCGTTAGTGAAGGTCACCCCGGGCGTGTGTGACGTTAGATCAATGTCATCGCCGGTGATTCTCGTGAATTGATTATTATAAATGAAAGTCATTAGTGTAGGTGACTTGAGCGTGTGTGACGTTATAACAATGTCATCGCCGGTGATTCTCGTTAATTGATTATTAGAAATGAAGGTCATTAGAGAACGTGACTCCGGCGTGTGTGACGTTAGATCAATGTCATCGCCGGTGATTCTCGTGAACTGAATTTTATTCGTATGCGGACGTGTTGTGTGTATAGATATCATACTAGTTAGACTTAGTATCTCAATATATTTCCATGGTTGTGTGTAAAGTTAACACGTGAATGATGTGAAACATAATGCCCGGCGCACATGTGAGTTATTTTACTCAAGTAAAATGACACATGAGTCAAATTACTCAACGAAAATCCGCCGCACACGGGAGTAAAATGACTCATGCGTCATTTTACTTGAGTAAAATAACTCACGTGTGCGCCGGGCTTAAGGTAGTAGACTGTGAAGCCGCGAGTGAGCTGTCCACGGAATTGTAAAGCTTTGTGAATGAATTGTCCTGTACATACATAACCTCACGTGTTCAGAAAAATACCGAAAGCAATATTACATTGCATGAATGATCTAGGATAATATCAAGAGTACACAATAGAGAATCTCTATTACGTACTCTTGATAATATCTCTCATGTCATCTCTGATGTATCTTACTAGAGATGTATGCTATTGCTAGGAATGTATATTTTTGCACAAACGAAGGCTTCTGTTAGCTATTCGTCATTGAGATTCCTAGTCAATTGTACTTCCCTCTGTTGTAGCTGAAAACGATTTAGGTTAAGTAACTAATATAGATCACAGAGTTCATTCCTCGGGATTTCAGAGCAGTTGGCTGTTAGTGGTCCTGCTGTTGGCATATGCATTTTGCCTGAGAGCTAGTTCAATGAAATCAAGGCACATAAAATACACGATGGTGACTAACTTAATCGAATAAAACAGGTGGGAAATTTTTCAGAGTGAAACTATCGAGCAAATTGTTAGAATTCGTTAGAAGCGATAAAATATATCGGAACTGCTTCGTGACGACAAATCGGTTTATTCCCATTTTAGTTCATCATATAAGCTATCACTGAATGACCTCGATTATTTTCGCAAAAGTACTGTAAGTGTGAATTGCGTTCCTTTATTTGGAATTCGTGATCAGTTTTGTAATATTTGTGTTCGTTTAAATTCCTTTTTTCATTTTTGTCGATAGATGAAGGATGGCAGTCTCATGACAGATTTATCCTCCACTGCATCCAACATTGCAGGGAAGGTGAGAACTAACTGTCACTACTGCTTTAGCTGCAGACACAGGGAAAGACAGATCATAGACAGACATAAAATAGATCATATTTAATATTTATTACGATATGTTTATATTCAAATTTTGGTATATATATAGACATTTCATATAGACTATATTATATATATATCTATATTATGAGACTCCTGATAATATGTTATATATTAAATATTTTAATTTGTTTGACTTTTGACTTAATTATGTAGCAAGATTAATGTTTTATCATTAAATATAATTATAAAAGTGGGTAATGGTTATAATAAAAGATACTCAAAATACTAATACATGGTGCAAAAACTAATAAACCAGACACGTAAAATGTTGGAATAACTACAAGTTTTTTTTAAATATGCAGTTATCATCAGTGCTGCACAAATTTCCCGTGATATTCCATGAGGGCCACACAGTAGTTACTTCACGTTTATTACGGCCTGTGCACTCCAAAACCATCCATCGACCCGATAATGCAATTTTACAGTTGGAAGCATTTCCCTAATGAGTTATTGTGAAAGTGTAGGTTTAGTGTTTGAAATGTTGATATTCTACTGAAATATTGCACTGACTAGACACCACAAATCATGTGCAGTAGAATCTAGGGCAGACAAATACAAATTGAATATTTTATAGGCCTTTAGGCACTGTACATCTCCATCCGAGTTGAAACTAAATTTTTGAGTTTAGAGGAGGTTATTGTTTAGTAAAGTTCTCCCAGCTATTCTTTCCTCAATTTCTGGACAGTGCTCTGATATTTCATACATAAACATTCATGGCTGGCACCTGGTAACCATCTTGCTGCGCATTTTGATAATTATTATTTCAAACTGGAAATTGTTTCCATTATTGTATCGTTCTGTGTACCCTTTCTTTGCTCAGGTTATCTGTTCATTTTGCTATTTCTTATTTCAAAACTAATGTGAAAATTAACTTTCATAATTATATTGTTTCGTGTACTATTCATATACGTATTCGTATTCATATATATATTATTCGTATATATATTCGTATATTCGTATATATATTCGTATATTCGTATATTCGTATTCGTATTCGTACTATACGTATACGTATTCGTATACCCTTTCATTGCTCATTTTATCTGGTAATTTTGCTATTTAATAATTCAAAATTAATGCAAAATTGTATCTATAATTATATTATTCCGTGTACCTTTTCGTTGCTCAGTTTATCTCGTCTGTAATCATCTTTGCTATCAACTGTCACAACTGCCTCAACTGTCACAACTGCCTCAACTGTCACAACTTTCACAACTGTCACAACTGTCACAACTGCTGGTGTTAGGCAGGAAACCATTATCGTGTCTCTGTATGTCGTCGTCACACACGGTTGACATTTTGACATTCGCAGGTGACAGACACGAGCGTCAGAGCTTTTACGAACATTCAGGACGCGCTCATCGAGAAGAAGACGACGCTCGATTCCGTCGACACGTCACCAAGAGAGCATTCGTCGCTGCTGACGGGAAACGACAGCTCGGCTGCACTCAAGGAACGCGAGAGACTGAGGTGTGAGAGAGTCTTGGTTCGTGATGCGCGGGTCAAACGCAGCTGCTAAGATGGCGTCTCCAAACCTTCTGTTGATCGAAATGAGTTACTGTAACAATATGCCTTTGAGTTGTTAGGGTCGTTCAAAGATGGTGTATCCACACCTTCTATAGAAGGAAATGAGTTTCTGTAACAATATATCTCTGAGCCGTTAAGGGCCGGACACACTAGGCGATTAAATCGGGCGATTACATCGGGCGACAAAATCGCCCGATTCTATCGCGCGAGTCGAGTGGACACACTAGGCGATTAAATCGCCCGATGCAATCGCCTGGTGTGTCCGGCCCTTTAAGGTCGTTCAAAGAGGGTGTTTCCACACCTATAGAAGGAAATAAGTTGCTGTGAAAAAATACCTTTGAGTCGTTAGGGTTGTGGTGAGGGATTCAGTAGGTAAGATATAGCTTGGACTTCTAAGATGCATTAGTGGGAGTGACTTCTACCTTTACGTAATCCCTCATGTGTGATTTTATTGGTGATTTTCTCCTTTCGAAGGTTTATTTGGTCGTTTTCACACACGTCTCAGGAATCCACATTCCGAAGCGATGTTGCGATGTATTTTTACGAGAGTTACTGGACCGTCGTAGAAATTTTCCCCTCTTCCCTCGTCGCAGGAATATGAACCCGGATCTCTCCGAGACGCCCCTGCTCCACGAGAAGCAGCTGTCGCGGGAGGAGGAGGATGCCAACTGGGGAGGCTGGGAGGATGAGAACCCGTTCAAGCGGCAGCAGAGCGAGGGCTGGGCGTCCGATCGCGCGCAGTGCGGCAGCAAGGGCAGCCGGAACAGTTCGTGGGACCACGACGACTGGGGGCAGGACGAGTGGAAAGGTAACGAGTGACTACTGAGTGGTTAAGCTAGGTTTACACTATGCAAAAGTTGACGAGTGGCGCCGATAGCAAAGCTGCGCTCGCGCCCTGGGTGGAGGGACACACCTCCTGATTGCTATTATCTGAGTGGCTGAGTGGCAAAAACTTGATCAACTTGCTGACTAAAAGTTGAGAAAATAAAACGTGTTCTAATCTCTCAAGTAGCTGGTATCAACTTGCTGGCTCAAACTTTTACGTTTACTTACCCGCTCACGTTTACCCACGTAAGTTTACGCTGCTGACTTTCTGGTCGATTAGTTGAAAAGTTGATCAGCACGTCAACTTTTCAACAGAAAGTTGATAGCGTAAACCCGGCTTAAGTTACGCGGATCACCGGCTTTATCTGTCCTCCGCGCAGCCGGGCAGGGTCTGTGCCATGCAATGGTGGCTTATGTCCGTGTGCAGAGTGGAGATTGCGGCGAAGAATTGGTAATCAGACGGGTTTCAAAAAGGTTTAGAAGAATTGGTGATCAATTGGGGTTGACTTCGAAGAGTATCAGCTAATATTAAAGAGATCATATTGCCAATCAGAGTGGCTATCGTAATCATAATACTAATGTCAGGTATGAAATACGAGCACGGCGCAATCACGAGAATATGAGTAGAGCCCGGCGCGGCGCGCGGGGGCGGCGCGAGCGCGGCGCGCGGCGGGGGAGTAACCACGCTGCAGAGAGAATCGCGGCATGGGTATAGCGCGAACGATCTCGAGATTTACCGCGTATTTGCGATTGTTGGCGTGTGTCGCGCCTGCCCGTGATCGTAACGCCATGGGTGTTAACGTCTGTAAAGGTCTGTTAAGGTCTGTAGACGGATTTCCGTCTTTTTGTTATTTTTACAATTTTTGTATGTATTGAATGTATGTTTGTTATATATTCTTGTATAATAGTGTTTTATCCAAGTTTTTATGTTACAAATTACATATATTGTAGTATTTTCTTAGTTTTTATCTCATCGTCAGGAGATGTCACAAAATGTGGTTTCATACTACACAGAATCCATAGCTTTAGTGGGGGAATTTCAATCGCCCGATCTGATCAGAAGACCCAATTTTTTTTCAGTCCCCACTTTACTTGACATGCGTCTAAACAGAGGAATTGCTCCGACCTGTGATTGGAGGATAAAAAAAGACCCCGCCCACTTTTCCATTTTTGGAGGATAAAAATAGAGAATTCGTGACGTTTCGTTTCACGGTCATAGCCGCGCGTGCATATTTGCTAATTAATTAGACTAATCGCGCTTCAATAGACTCAAAATTCACAGAGATTAAGGCTAAGACGTGTGTCTACAACAGCTAGAATTTATAGAAATTTAACTCAAATCGTTCGCTCCACATGATAGTTAGTACACGTTCCTACCGGTCATAGCATAGCGTATGCGGCGGGAGTGGGCGGGGTCTATTTTTATCCTCCAATCACAGGTCGGAGCAATTCCTCTGTTTAGACGCGTGTCTTTATTTGTAAGCACCCATGTAACACGCGCGCGCTTCATTCCCGCAGACCACGGCAATGACTGGAACAGCGAGTGGACCGATGACAACGCGCACGGCACCGCCTCAAAGAAACCGCAGAAAGCAGCCTCCTCCGCGTCCGCCGCCCTGCGGAAGAACGAGTACAAGAAGAAGAACAAGCAGGAGAAGGAGAGCGAGAACCTCCTCATCGACTTCGACAACGTGCCGATCAGTCCCAAGGAGCCGGCGGCAGCAGCGGGGGGGCGGCGCGACGAGTGGAGGGCGTGGGACGAGGAGGACGAGGCGTGGGACAGTCTTAGCAACGGTCGAGCGAAGGGCAAGTCTGAGTAGGGCTGCGTGATCGCCGGGGGGGGGACTCTTACGCACTTTGACAATCGACGCAGAGTCGGAGGAAGCACGGAGCAGCAATGGCCGCTTGCGCGCGTATGTGCTGACTCATCATCATCATGGCTCCCGGGATCGACGTCCCTAGCGCGGACGCTCCTTCAAACATTGTGTCGCTGTTACTAACTATTGGCCTCTGGTGGTTCTACGCACGACGCTTTGGTGCCCTGGCGTATGTAACTTCCACCACCCAATCGACGTTACCGAAAGAATGTTGAAGTCGCTAGTGTTAAACGTCTGTGAAGCATATTCCGGTTAGGCTGCGAGGGAGATCGGATCGAAGAAGATACGTGTTAGATAGATTTTTGATAGCCAGGTGGAAGTGCTGGAGACAGACTAGAGTGGAAATTCTAGTAGCCTTTCCTTCACTGCTTAGAGAGTGGGGACAATATCACTGTCAAGATATTACAGTTTTTCTTGAGCATCGGTAGATGTGGAGACTGAAGGTGGCATGAGATTGTTGTCCGTGTCGAGTCGCCAGGCTGCTGAGTCTGGTAATGCTATATACCGCGAGAAAAAAACTCGAAACAGGGTAAAATGTTTGTATCGTGATGCTACACTGCACCGCGCTGTAGGTGACACAATATCAAATTATCAAACGTTAGTACATTTAGCCATCGTTCGGTTTTGATGTTTCGTTTCTGATGTTGTTACTGCACAGATTGGTTTACTCTAAAAGCCATAATGGGACGATTTGATCAATTTTGAAATTGTGTGCACCGACCAACAAATAACTAGCTGTCTTTGTTCCGCCGCTTCAAAAGCAAACTTCCAATTTATCGGCACAGATATCTTGTTATTAGGCCAACATTTTTTGTTGTGATCATTGTGAATGTCGATAAATGCTTAGAAGTAATGCTGTTATCGTTTGTAAACTATTAAATGGATAACGTGATTTATTGTTAAAAGGCAAAAAACGAGCTGTGTGTGGTAAAAACAAGTAGCCATCTCTCCAGTATAGGCAGGGTAATACATCAGTTTCCTATAATAACAGTTAATGAACGGTTAGGTTACACTCGGTTTTTTAAAGATAAAGGTTTCGCATGAACCCATACATAAAGTATTTTCTATCATTTAGTCAAATCGTACTTGTGTTATTGAATAGGTGAAAACAGTTTTACGCTGTGCATATTTAAGTATGTCTTCCAATATAATTTGCATAGTATCATATTTACGATCTTTAATTCAATTAAATGAAGGCAACAGACCCAATAATTAGGTAAACGTAACATATGCTTCTAAGTCCGCCCTTTGCTAAGCGTATTACCATGACTGTATGTATTAGAATACATATAATAATATACAAATATACTCATGGTGTGACTACATCCAAAGGGAAGTGATAGTTCTGCTGTGTGCTGTCGTTACATGATTAAATGACACTTGTAAATAGATTTTCAGGGTTCCCAGTTAGCGTTGCTATAGAGATATACATGGTATATCTCTTGATGTATAAGGAGAAAGAGAGCAACACGCGTTGAAGAAATACGCTCATTCCATGGACGAGATATGGGTGGATTCGGGGTTGTATGGCTAGAAATTATCTTGCGTCAAGTTCGCGTGTGAAGCGGTGCATTCCGAGTAGGTAATAATAGAATGTATCAGAAGATCTTATAGCCGTAGCAGTTCATTGCTCTCGTGTTGCGAATATGAGTGAGATGTTTGAGGTGCTACGTCACGACATCCTTGCTTGCTGTTGTAACAAACCAATGAAACATCAGCAAATGTCAGGATTCACATAGTAAAAGTAAATCAATCGGTCGTTCAAAATTCAAAGCCTTACATCTTCTACGTTCGTGAGGTTTGGCCTTTATGCGGATGTTGATCGTTACGAGAATCATTACAGATTAATGTTGTACTAATTATAGTCAACATGGTAATATCAGGAGTGTATAATATAGATATATATATATAATATAATATATATTATAGTATATAATGATATATATATATATATATATATATATATATATAATATATATATATATTATATATAATCGATATTTATATATAAATAATATCAAGAGTAGATAATAACAGTGTTATTATCTACTCTTGATAATATCTATAATATGACACTTGTGGTATTATTGCATCATAAGCAAACACCAACGTGCAAGAGCAAAAATCGTTGGAGTCTTGCACCTAGTAGGCTTTGATGGCGTGCTAAGAGATATCACTGACTCATCCATCCTACTCACCTAACGTACGAGGGTGCTTTGCATATTTATTCGTTTTTAATGACAGGGTGGAACGTTTTATGACCAGCTGCTATACATCCGGGAATGTAATAGCACTGTTAGAATAATCCTGTTCGTTGGGGCAGAAATTTGTGATGACATTTCAGGTTCTGGGCTTACATGCCGTGCGCATTTTTCGGTACCTCGCTCGTGTAGACGCCGGCACACATAGTATGTGTCTGTCGATGGAGACGTAACACAAACGTCACTCTAAAGTTCACGTAATTATACGCTAGCAATCCTCGGATAGCCCCCACGAATGCATGCCATTTGTGTTTCGCTGGCGTGGTTAAACTATAAAGTGCCACCGGTGTAAGCGGTGAGTGAAGAATCGTAAATACTGTATAACTGCAAAGTAAACTGGTCGTGTAAGATTTGGCACATACCATCGGTACCCCTTTTTGCGAATGTTTGCATTTAGTCAAAAGTGACATGATGAGATGTCACGTTGACATAATGAGGTCACTGACATGACGAGGTCACCGTGACATCATGAGGTCATAGTGACATAATGAAATGATTGCTGTCTGATTGTAGTTTTCATTCTAAATCAATGTAAAAACAAATGCAAAAATGTGTTTTGCAAGCATTGTGTTGCGTCACCATGAAAGACCTACAAACCTCCATGTCCAGAACTCGTATAGGCCTTCAGTAGTTTGCTTACATATCTCTAGGTTTGCTCTACCTTGTACATGATCAGTGTCGAGGTAAGGTGTTATCTAAAGAATGCTGAATCAGTGGATTTCAAGGTGCTAGCCTACCACTGTACTTATTTACTGCATTTCAAGTATAGTCATATTTGTTGTAATTTATCTCCAAAAAATCAATAGTTGTCAACCATAATTATGAAAATGCAAATGAACTGTTATTGTATTTTGAGAACCTATCTTTGCATCATGCATCAGCATTGACATTCATAATCATAGTGTACTACGTGATATTTACAATAGATAGTGCAGTAGAACAGTATACATTGAAAAATTTCTTGCCAACAAATTTATTTACAAATTAAAGAAATGGTATACAGTGCTTAATAATCCTGTCCCTATAGCCACCGCCACCTTCCTAAACTAGACACACTTACAAACGAATGTTTAAAATAGATTGTGGACACATGTAAGCATTAACGATATCAAATTATTGTGTGACCAACCGTGTTATTTCACATATCAATCGCATGCACTTTCTAAAAATACGAATTCCCCCGTATTTCTAGTCGGTGTTCAAAATTATCACACAAGACCCACGAGAAATGTTAGGCATATTAGATATGTGTTCATTTTCTGTCGGCGAGAGCTCCATGAAGCATCATGATGTGTATGATCATGAAAGGTTTCTTTCTCACTGCCAGGGAAAACCGAGACAACTGTAACTTATAGATGCCTCAGCATCACGCATTGTCAACAACATTACCGTCGACTTGTGCTACACCTAAATGTGACACAGATGGGTTGTACGTAAAGTAATGCAAATGATGGTTAACAGTGAGCTAATACTATGTACACTTGCTATTCAAGCAAAGCTAAAACTTCTTATATGTAGTCATAGATATATACAAACACATGTGTTTGTATATATCTATGATGCAGTTTAAGCGAGGTTTATTAGTACCATGCACCCGTACACTGTCGTACGTAATTTGCATTTATCTAGATGCGAGTTCCAACAGTTGCTAGTGTAATTAATTATATTTAAAGAACATTCATGTCTGTCAATTTTATGATACTCTTAAAAACTAGCTGTTGTGAAGAGTAAGGCTTTGAACTGATACAAACACAAACGAATGTTTTCCGACGGTAAAACGAGGTAAGTGAAACTCAAAACGCGATGGTCCCGTAAATAAAACACATAGAATCACATTAATAATATATTATATAGTAAGGAATGAGCCAACAAGCGATTATCAGAAGAAAATCCAAGTAGAGATGTTTTACGAAAAACCGACCTATGGTCAAAACTGCAATTACTGCTCGTTGTTGAGCTCACTCGTGCATTGACCACACGTCCATATTTACAGGATATCACTGGCGAAGTCTTCACCAATAGAATGACTTTGAAATGAAGTTTGCTGCCACGCTCATCCAGCTTCCTCCCTGACCATCGTCCCCTGCCCTTGCTACGGCTTTCGCTCTCACGGGGGAGTCTTCCTCTGGGAGGTAGGGGGGCAGTTGGGTATTCTCCTTGTTCTGGTCAGACCTCTTATCGAAACATATCAGTATCTGTGGAAGGAGCGCAGCGTATTAGTTTAAATATTGCTCTTCTTGATGATTGCTGTTTTACAAGCACACGACAGTGAGTTTCGTCTGGAAAATAATTCCAGTAGAAACTTTCATAAAGGAAGCGACTAACCACCCACTATGTATGGCCGAGACGAGGTAGATGGATTAATATCAGCGTTGTGAAGCGTAAATTTTATTAGCTCGGTTGATGGAAAGGTGAGCTTCTCACTCTGCTTGTGCTGAGGTAGTCACTTACCTCCTCTCCTTGTTCGTTCTTGATCACCTGCTCTGCACTCATCACCTTGGTTTTGGCCACAGCCTGCACCAGCGCCTGTAAATCACCAGTAACTAGTTTCTCCTCTCATACTAATCACTAACACCAAAGATTCTCACCAACTGAATGCCATCATCACCTTGGTTATTTCCTGCAAGTCGGATGTCCTGTAATTTGACACAAGCTACCTACGGTTTTAGTTGTAACATGCAATCAGGGGTTAATAATTAATGTTTTTAGTGCATCACATGACTATGCAATCTACTTTTCATGCGTATATACCTTCTTTATACTCCCTAATTTGCCGGTGCATTCGATGTAACAAAACGTTCGACACAAACACAACCGCCGTTCGAAATTACTCTTGCGTGGCGCCCAGACGCAGGAGATTCGTGACGTAAACACAATGCGTTATAATAACAATGCGTCGCGCAAGCGATAGTGCCCGCTCAGGCAGGCACTATCGCTTCATAGTGCCTGCTGCGTTATCCAATGAGATTGCAGCGATTTATCACGTCATGCACTAATGACAAATATTATGACATCGCGACAAATTTATCATGAATGATTATTAAACCCCTGATGCTGTCCATGATACAAATGTAAACCACCTACATGCCAACCTATTCTATGGGGACCTGCTATAACTATAACTCGTCATTATCGGGCAATTTCGCGTGATACCTCTGGTTTGATGTCGGCTCTGACTCTCGCGATGCAGCGCAGCTTCGTATGGTCGAACGTGATGCTGATGACACCGCGTACTCTCAGCAGCTGGGCTTCACACACCCTACGGTGGTCCTGTAAGACAACGTCATCACTCGGCATCGTTATTCGAGTGTAGTCGATGCCACGACACCGCGAAGGCTTGTGAATTTAGATTTTGGGGGATGGCACAGGTATTTCTACCACACAGTGATTGTAGTCAATGCCACAACGTGAAGGTAGTTGTACCATGAAGGCTTGTGAATTATGATTTTTGGGATGGCACGGGTATTTCTACCACGCCGTGATTGTAATCGATAGCACAACGTGAAGGGCGTACTGTGAAGGTTTGTGAATTTAGATTTTGGGGATGGCACGAGTGTTTCCACCTCACAGTGATTAAGGTTGAAGTGCATTTTTCACCTGGCTGACCATTCCTTTCAACTGCAGTACTACAGTCTTCGACCTGGCAGAGCCCAGCAGGAATTGGTGACTTTGTCTCTTTGACTTGTGCCCCGCTCTCCCTGATGCTGGATTCCTGCAAACATTTCCAGAGTAATTTCGCCCGGTACTTATATTTACAGAGATGAACTGTGCTGAAAATCGTGGTGCTACTCGCGAGAAATATAATATAAGAGAAACCATGTGTGTATGTTTGTGCATGTATATATATATATATATATACGATCATTTGTGGGTGCGTGCGTATGACAGTGAGCATGTGCATGTGCACGTGTGAAAGATATATTTCCCCAAGTTACAATCCTCCCGCACAACATATCCTTGTAGAGGTAGTTTTCGCACATGTTTGCAGCATCCTTGGGTCTGCAGTGAAGCTCTTTCTTCAGGAGACTGAGCAACTCTCTGGCTAATTTCTGGCAGTAATGATCAAATCCGGTGCTGAAACATAATCGCACGAAAATTGACGTGTTAATCGATGCCATTGCTTGCCTGCATCTAAAACAGAGTAGTGAGCATTAAGGACTCTTCCAAATAAATTGAAAAGGTATTTCGAGTAGCTAAAGTAAATCTGTTTGATCTGTAGATTAACTAGTTAATGCACTATAATCAATACCAGTTTTCTTTCTTTTCACAACTCGGAAAAATCACTAATATTGCTACCATAAAAATTAATATCCATACTTGGTAGCAACTGTTTCCAGTGCTGGTATGAATCCATATGTATTTTTCAACATTGGCCTGTAATGTGCACTCTCACATAGAGCCCATAGCGTCTGAAATATTGTCGGAAAAGACGGATTAGTCAAAATGTTAAAATATTCATCCTATGCTATCAAGGACCGAGATTAAAAAATTATTTACCCAGCGGCCTATCGTGTAATAAATAGTTATAAATATTAGATGACGTGGGCACGGATATCAACTTAGAAAAATTCAGCACATATGCCATATAAGCAGTTGCTAACTTAAAATTGTTTATTTATAATAGATATTAAATTTGTGTTGTTATTAATAATTAAGTGATAAACCTTGTGCGTTTCTGAAAATGCTTTTATCTCATCAGTATCGTATGACACTTGAGAATTTAAAATGCGAGGCTAACTTTAAAAGTGTCCTGACAACAGGCTTCTGAGCCGATACGATTATATCTATCTGTTATGTTATATGTCACATCGCTACAATAATATTTTGTGTGAATTTAGCACTCTCTTTAGATTCAGAGCTCTGTGGAGCATGGCATATGTACATTTTTACCTGTAAAGAGTTCTTCACAACCTCAATGCACTTGTCATCCAAGACGTAGATAAGGAAAGCCACACACGCCGAGTCCTGTATGATGATAGGAGCATAAATACAATTAAATGGTTGGATTAAGAAAATTCCATTGTTTGGATTGCTTTTGTGGTTTATAAAATATGCCGTGGCTACGCGTCCGGACATCCATCTCACACAGTGATCTTGCGACACGTACGCGCATGATTGGGCAACGGGACACTCTGCTGATTGCAGTGTGTGTGTGTGTGTGTGTGTGTGTGTGTGTGTGTGTGAGAGAGAGAGAGAGAGAGAGAGAGATGGAATGTATATGGTGTGTGTGTGTATGCGTGCAGAGAGAGAGAAAAGCAGAGCGCGCTAGCGGTGTGTGTGTGTGGATGTGTGTGTGAGAGAGAGAGAGAGAGAGAGCGAGAGAGGACGGATGAAAGAGGTAGACGGCGCAGGGCATCTATTGTATATTTTCGGCAATCAGCAGAGCGTCCCGTGCTGCAATCATGGCGTGTATCGCGAGTCGCGCGATCACTGTGTTGAGTGGATCGTCCGGTCATGTGTAGCCTGGAGGCTAGCGAGCCGGTTCCGGGACGCGGTAGCACCTGCGTCATATAATAATATACCACACCTGAGCAATATGCTAAAACAGCTCAAAGAAGGTAACACTGAAGAATGGCAGCTGCTATAGCTTAATGACTTAGACCTGCATGTTATGCTGCAGATGTCCATTATGTAATATGTGAAAAAAAATATTGTTCATTTTTAAAATTATTTATCAATTCGAAATTTATATAAATATTCGTTGTCAGGGTTGTGAACTTGTGTATCTTTAAAACTTTTCAAATTTCAGCAGCCAAATATACTCAATAATGACAATATTTATGGATGAACATTCGTAGATTATGATTTAAATCATAAATGTGTATTATTAATATTATTAAGTAATAATCAACGTCCAAGCACCTTGATTAGGGCAGCCCTCTGACAGGATCGGTTGCAAGCTGACGATATGTTGTAACAGTAGCCAGCGGTGGCTGTGCTCAACTTTTGCTCATTCATCGTGGTCTGAGGTTCGCCGTGGTTCAAGGAGAGAGTACGTGCCTTGTGAAATACAAGTCTGAAGAGAGGAACCCCCAAGATACAAGATACCAAGATACAAGTGGTCAGCTGGATAGCGAGGAGATCTACTTCATACACGTCCACAGCTAATACAATGACATAGTTTGTGAATAGGTAAAAACAATGATATCGGATAATAATAGACAAATATCCAAATAAATATCGTTTCAGATTATAAATAGACTTACGAAAGTTGTCCAAATGTCCGCTCAAAAACGATCGCTGGCACGTTGTTTAGAGAACGCGGAAATGAATCTAACTGGCTAAGATAGACAGGAAAGCTCCACAGCGACCACCTGCGCCAGGAGTTTTAAACAGGCGCCAACAGATTGTCCTGAAACAGGTATATTTGCAAGTTATTAATATTCGATAACTCATTGTTTCTCGCTTTATTTCACAAATATCCAGTCCCCGTAAGCGTATGTTGTAACCATTGCAGTAAGGTTGAGTTCAAATACTCGCACATAACATTGAGTACGCGACGACACTGCCGAGTTTTCATCGAACGAACTCAAACTCGTTGCTTGATGCGTGTACTAGCCGCGGACTCCGGAACACTGTCATGTCATTGACATTGACATTTGATTGTCAATAAACATCATGATCAATCCTATCCAGGGTCGGATCTTAAGTTTTAACTAAGGGGGGTTGACGCTGAGTGTGATGGCCTACACACACCAACGTCCGAG